TCAGTTGATGGATATTTAGGATGCTTCCACTTTTTGGCTATGATGCTACTATAAACGTTCATGTACCAGTTTTTGGGTGTGTGTACATAGGTTTTTAATTCTTTAGGTATATATCTAGGAATAGAACTGATAGGTCCTATGGTGATTTTATGTTGAATTTTATTTCAGTTTTCCATAGGACTGCACCATTTTATATTCCCACCAGCAATATATGAGGGCTTCAGTTTTTCTAGACATTTGTTATTACCTGATTACAGCCATCCTAGTGGGTGTTGAATCATTTTGTGGGTTTGACTTGTACTTTCCTAATAACAAATGATGTTGACTCCCATTGACTCTTATACTCATGCCAATCTGATACTGTGCCCCCATGGAAACCGCTGTTGCAAAGTTCACCAATGATATCCACATTGTTAAAACCAATGGCCAATCCTCAGGCCTATTTCACAATTTGGCATAGCCAAATCACTGACATAGCCTATCACTCCTCCATGAAATGCCTTCTTCACGGGGCTTGCCTAGTGCTGCAGCTACCTTGCTTCCCTCCATTCTCAGTTTTCCTTCCTAGGTCCTCTTCATGTGGCTGCCTAACACTGGAGATACCTCTTCTCATCCTCATCTCTTACCCCTCCACACCTGTTTCCCCTATGCATCCAGCATTATGGCTCGGAATGCCTGTTCATGTTCCATGTATGGAGACAGGACTTCCCAACTTATCTTTAGTCCAGATCTTGCCCCTAAACCCCAGACTTGCATATCCAAATGCCTCCAAGGCATCTCCACTTAGACACTCAGTAGACATCTCAGACCATGCTCCTCATCTCTCCTCCACTTCCTTCCTGCTTGTCCCCTGCTCCCCTTTCCCACAGCCTCCCTCTCCCCTGTCAACAGAATTGCATCCTCCCCATGGGTCAGGCCCCAAAATACTAGAACTGTATTGTCCACGCTGTAGCCACTACCACATGGAACATTCATTCTTTGATTCAATGTCCCCAAAACATTGAGCTGAATTCCACCTACTCTGCCAGGTTTGCAAGTATAGGAACAATTAAGCAAGCACCTCTCCGGCCTTCAGTAAACACGAGAGTGATCCATAGGTGAGCACACCCAGACATGTGCCTGACTTCTGTGATGACAGAGCAGGGGCTATTTAACTTAAAACTCACTAAAGCTACCTAAAGTTATAAATGCAGTTCCTTGGTTGCACAGGGCACTGTTCATGTGCTTCACAGACATACATGGCTGGTGCTGCTATAAAGGAAGCTGCAGTTTTAGAACATTTCCATGTAGCAGACGGAGAGGGTTTCACCGCCTTGTGCTGCCCTGGTGACCCTCGACTCTCCTCCTTCTCTCACACCTGACATACCCATTTATCCATACATCCCACTAGTCCTGATTTCAGGACACACCTAGAGCCACTGCTCTTCCCCACCTTCTTCATGACCTGTGTCTCTTGCCTGGGTTATTGCGTACCTCACAGGGATGCCTGCTTTCACCCTTACCAGCCCCTATCTATTATTAAATGTAAACCAAATTGTGACACAGATTGCTTGAGCTCAGGAGTTCGAGACCAGTCTGAGCAAGGGTGAGACCCCTGTCTCTAGAAATAGAAAAACTAGCTGGGCATCATGGCACATGCCTATAGTCCCAGCTACTTGGTAGGCTGAGGCAAGAGGACTGCTCAAGACCAACAGTTGCTGAGAGCTGTGATGCCATGACATTCTACCCAGGGTGACACAGTAAGACTATGTCTCAAAAAAAAAAAAAAAAAAAAAATCTGGTGGTGCTCGTAGCTCAGTGGGTAGGGCGCCAGTCACATACACTAAGGCTGGTGAGTTCGAGTCTGGCCTGGGCCTGCTAAACAACAATGACAACTGCAACCAAACAATAGGCAGGCATTGTGGTGGGCACCTATAGCCCCACCTACTCAGGAGGCTGAGGCAAGAGAATTGCTTAAGCCCAAGAATTTGAGGTTACTGGGAGCTGTGACACTATGGCACTCTTCCGAGGGCAACATAGTGGGACTCTGTCTCAAAAAAAAAAAAAAAAAAAAAAATCAAATTGGGTGGTGCCTGTGGCTCAAGGAGTAGGGCGCTGGCCTCATATACCGGAGGTGGTGGGTTCAAACCCAGCCCTAGCCAAAAACTGGGGGGGAAAAAAGTCAAATCGTGACCTTCCTTGGTTCAAAAACCACCCAGGACTCTCATCTCATACAGAGGAAGTTCTGCAGATCTTATGGTGGTCAATGAACTACTGGGTTGGGTGCCTGAGTTCTCTGACTTCACTGTGTATTCACTTTCTAGGCCTTGCTCCAGCCGCACTGGCCTCCTGGCCATTCCTTCCCTATGCCTGGCACTTCTGACTCAGGCTTTTTATTTTTTTCGCCTGGAACACTCTTAACACAAATACCCATATGGCTCATACTCTCATCCCTTTTCCATCATTATTCAAACGTCACCTTCTCAGTGAGGTTTTCTCTAAAGATCCTACTGCTACCTCCTCTCCCCCATTCCTCTTTTATGATTTATCTTCTCCATCACACATATTATCACATGACTTGATATATAGTTTATTTTACTTAATTTTCTTGCTTATTGTCTGTGACATAATAATTTTATTTGGCATCTGCCCCCAGTTTCTGACCTAGGGCTCCCAAACTCTTAGAATTTTCTAAGTGATGTGGGAGACAGAAGCATCTTAAATAGGGCTCCTCAATCGTTTGGAATGTTCTAAGTGACAGAAATGCCTTTTGTTCTATAGAGTGTGACTTGGGGTGGGCTTCTGGAAGGGGCTTGCTCACCAGCAAGAATAAACCATGAGAAGGAAATTTGAGCCACACCCCCTCAGGGAGGAGAGAGGGGCTGGAGATTGAGCTAATAATTAGGCCTATGATGAAGGCCTCATAAAAAATACCTAAAGTGGCTCAGTGCCTATAGCTCAGCAGCTAGAGCACCAGGCAGATACACCAGAGCTGGTGGGTTCGAATCCCGCCTGAGGCCTGCCAAACAGCAATGACAACTGAAACAGAAAAATGGTTGGGTGTTGTGGGCGGCTGTGGGAGGCTACTTGGGAGGCTGAGGCAGGAGAATCTTTTAAGTTCAAGACTTGGAGGTTGCTGTGAGCTGTGATGCCACAGCACTCTGCCGAGGGCAACGTAGTAAAAATCTGTCTCAAAAAAAAAAATCCCTAAACTATGGGGATCATTGCATTTCCAAGTTGGTGAATGCATGCATGTGCCAGAATATGGCACACCCTAACTCTATAGTGACAGAAACCCCAGCACTTGGGACCCTTCCAGACCTCTCCCTACTTACCTCTTTATTTGACTACTAATCTGTTTCCTTTATAATGTATCTGTAAACATTACGTAAATGTTTCCTCCAGTTATGTGAGGTATTCTAGCAAATTATCAAGCTGGGGGTGCACAGGTGCAGGTTATGGGAACCCCGAGTTGTAACTGGCATCTGAAGTCAAGGTAGTCTGTGGGCCTGAACCCTGAAAACCTGAGGAGTTTGAGACTAGCTCTGGGTGGTTGATTTCAGAAATGAATTAAATTATAGCACACTAAATTAGTGTCCAGAGAGTTGGTTGTCATGGGGGAAAAACACCCACAAATTTGGTGTCAGAAGTGGTGAGTATACAGTTTTCCTTAATTGTCCATTAGAATCTGAGTTCCATGACAGTACTATACAGATTTTTTGTCTTTTCTGATTTCTTCATTGCTTTCTGTACATAATGCATAGTAAGTGCTCAATAAATATTCACTGAATGAATCCAAATAGGGGAATGCATCAGTGAACAATAATGAGCACATGTTCAGAAGGGATTTCCTTTTAAGGTAGGAAAGAAGAATCCTAGGCACAAGCTGAAATTGGAGGATGTCAAACAGTGTGAGGGGTAGTCAGGGGTGACAACATAGATGGGATCTGTGCAGTGAGAGGAACATGGGTCTGTGATGTTCAGAGGGCAGGCTTTGTAAATATAAAGCACACCACGTGTAAAGGCCTGGAAATGGGACTGATCTTGTATGTTTGAGTGTCAAAAAAGTGGGACTGGACAGAAGCAAAGGAGATGAGGCAAGGTTGAGTCAGGAAATGCAGTGCCAGCCTTGCTGAGTTGTCAGAGGGATTTAATACACGTAATGGCTGCTCAGGGAAAATCATAATTGAGTTAACTAGACCAAAAAAGGAGAAAACATTATTCTAGACAGGAAACAGCATATACCAAGCAAGATCTTGGAGAAGGTGAGATCAATCATAATGAATGCAAGGAAGAAGGAAAGGCCAGAGAATCTACCAGTTAGAAAGATCAAGGGGAGAGTGGTGGGAGGGGACAAGGCTAGTGAGGTCAGCAGGGGCCAAAACCTGTGAAGCTGTGTAAGCTTTGACAAGGAATTGGATTTTGTGCCAGTGGTACTCCAGGGAGCCACTGAAGGATTCTGAGCAGAGGAGTGACCTGATCTGACACACTTTAAAATATTCCTCCCACTGCTACTTGCAGAATGGACTGCAGTAGGGCAAGGCCAAGCAGAACCAGAAAGGTTGGTAGGGAGGCTGCTCCAGTGACCAGATGAGACACGGATATTTAGGTAATAAAAAGGCTGAAACCTGGCAATGGAAATGAATTGGAAGTAGAGGAAATTAAGTAAGAAATTAAATAGGTTTCTGGTTTGAACTGCTAGGTGGTAGATGGTGATGCTCTTTTGAGTCTTGCAGAGGAAGAAGCTTTGAGGGCAATATCAAGGACTCTATTTGAGGAAGTATTCTGCAGGTGGGAATGTCAAGGGCACTGTCAAAAGTCTCAGGAGGGGTCTGGGCTGCCACCTAAAGCCCTCTGCACAGAGACTTGCAGTGTGATAGCCTGTTAGCGTTATTATGGAGCAGTATTCACCTGGGCATGTGTGATGTATATTGCATCTCCTCCTACCCAAGTTAACAATAACTACCATCAAAAATAAAAGAATCCAAAGTTGAAATATTCTTTATTTTAGGGATGGAAATAGGGCATGGAAAGAAGAGATACCTTTGTTAGTTATGGCTGAAGTACCATTGAAAGAACATCCTGGGGAAACAAGGAGGCATGTATGTTGGAGGAGGGAGAGGTGACCAGAAATGTAGGTTTGGGAAGCTTGGACACCTGAGTCCCAAAGGTAGATAGGGCCGACCCCTGGGTCTGAGGGAGGAGGATATTGAGGGTCTGGACTCCTAGGTGGGAAGGAAAAGGGGGATGAGGGCCCAGACTCTGGATCTAAAAAAGGAGGTGGGAACCGGACACTCAATCTGCAGAAAAAAGGAGCTGGATGATGGGACTCTGGGGTCCGAAGGACTCACCGTATCAACAGGGTCGCAGACGCTGATGCGAGAGCCGCGACAGCCGCGAGCAGGAGTAAGTTGATCGGCGTCAGAGCCTCAGGCCTGGTCAGTAGCTCACCCAGGCTCGGCCTCCAGGGCTCGATCATCTCTGCATCCTGCGGCGCCCAGCGCAGAACTTCCTTGAACGTCCGCTGGAGCTCGGTCTCGCCGCGTGGGGGCGGGCCCGTCACTGCAGGGGCGCGCACGTCAGTCGGGCATCAGCCCCGCCCCCAGCGTAGCCCCCGCCCCCTCGCGCAGCCTAGCTGGTCCGCACCATTAAGGAAGAAGTAGAGCCGAGCCAGGAGGCTCTGATCGTGCGTGATCAAGCAGGAAAAAGTCCCGCGGTGCTTGGGCTGCGCAGGCCGGATCCGTGCCACGTATCCATGGGCCCGCGGCATATCTCGGAAGTAGGACAAGTCCTGAGTCCGGAGCTGCGGGACGCTCTGGCTGAGGCAGCTGGAGGAGCGGAGCCCGACCCCAGCCCAGCTTTTGCGTTGGCTACTCGGACTTTCCAGACAGTACAAACATGCCCCGCCCGACCGCGCCCTTTTGGGCTCCTGCCTCAGCCTTTATTCGTGGATCCTTCAAGCATAGCCCCGCCTTCTAAACGTGACTCCTCCCCCTGAGCCCTCAACTCGTTCTGCCTCCCTACGCGCACCCCCAACCCTCAATCTTTAATCTCTTACGCATAACCTACACCGAGTTTGGCCCTGTAGTCTGATCCGTGACCTCTTCCCTAAATCCCAGGACCCTGTCCTTGCACGATGCCCCCATCTAGACCGGACTCCCACCCCATGCATCCTGACACCTTCATCTACTAAACACTTTATGCGAGTCCCGTTCCAACTCACACCTTCTGCGAACTTCCAGGAATAAGTGAGCTCTTTCTCAGGCAGCTGGAAGTTCACGACGCAAGAAAACATAGCCTGGTTACCCCGAGTCACCGTCACATCCCGAACTGAAAACCAAACCGGGTCATACTCCCTGGGGCCCGCTCACACCAGGTCTCGCCCCTCTCTCGCAATGTCAAAGCCGCGCCCCCTAACCTGGGCAGTCCACCGGAAAGTTGCAGATCTTGGGGTAGCACCCGCTGCAGCGAAAGCGTCGGGAGGCCTCCTGGAGTCCTGTCAGGCGGGAACACCGGGTCTGGGCTCCACTTGCCTTTCCCAGCCCCGGGCCCTTTGGCCACCTGGAGGTCTATTGCCCAGGTAAAAGGTAGAATCTCGGCCCGCCTTGCGTGCTCTCGCTGGCCCGCTCCCGCGACTCTTCGCTGTCTAGTGTTCCTACTGGTTTGCTTGGTTCTCTGACCCGCCTTCTGTGGTTTCTCCCGGGCTCTTATTGGCCCTTTTCGTCTGTGAAGCCCGCCCATTTCTCCCACTTGAATTTAGGCCACGACTGCCTCCCTCCCACCACAGTTAGGAGCTTTAGATTAAGTCCTTACCGCAGGGAGGGATGCAGTCCTGGGCTGTGGAGAAAGAGGAAGCGTCACTACGCTGAAAGTCACAGGAGGGACCCTATCTGAAACCCCCCTGGCCGGAAGGATGTCGCGGGGTCCCACGCATGCCTCCGAGGTGGGGCCAAGTTCGCAGTATCGCACCTGGGGATGGGGCCAGACTTGTGGCATCTGCTAAGATATTAGTCACAGGCCATCTAAGTGGGAGTGCGAGTGGGAGGGACACAAAGATCCGCGGCCAGCCCTAAGGAAGGAGGGGCTAGTCTGGGTGGAGTCCACCAAGGAAGGAAGGGTGCTAGATCCTAGGGGACCTTCCAAGGAAACCGGACTAAATCAGGAGGCCCACTGGAGAAGGGGTGTGGCCAGGGTAGAAGTAGCCCTCTAAGGGAGCCCAGCTGGAGAGGAACATTTCACAGAGTGTCCAGGGCCAGCCACGGAGATCCTAGTGTGGTCTGGGTCAGGAACATCCCAAGATGGGTCCTGGCTAGAGAGGAAACCTTCCATGCAAGGAGCGGAGCTAGATCCGTGTTCTAGGCAGGGAAAAAGTCACCCACCTAGGAAGGGCTGTAGCTCAGAGATTGGGCCAAGATTTGAGACTAAAGGGAGAGGTTGTGCATCTAAGGGGGGTGATGGTTTTCTAACTGCATGTGGTTCTGGAGGCGGGGGACAGCAAAGAGCCAAGGAGTCCATTTTACCTTCTGTAAGCTGTACAATGACCTCCTTCATTTTCTCCGCAGCATCAGAAAAGGCAACCTCAAAAGACCCTGGAGGGTAGAGGGGCACCTTTGTAGTAAAGGCCCTTTCCCTAGGCCTGGCCTAGCTTGACAGGATGAATTGCCATGATGTCTGCACCCCTTCCCCAGCCCTTCCAAATGCTATGCCTCTCCTATTTCCAAATCCTCTGTTCTCCTCCTCTCCTACTCTGTCTACTGTGAAGGCGGATGTGTCCCCAAGTCTCTTCTGCCTCTCCAGTCTCTCCAGCATGGAAACCCTCCTTGGCGTGGTCTGCATTTATCTTATTGGGTGGCGAGAGGAGGCAGGAAAAAGATCAAATATCTCACCGAGGTGTACTTCTCCTACTCTGTTCCATCCCTCCTGCCCACCTTTCATTTCCCTTAATATAACAAGAACCACATTTCCTAGCACCTCAGGGCCTTTACACATCTTGGTTTCTGTTTCTAGCACATTTTTCTCCTATTCCTAGTCATCCTCAGGTCTTACATTTTAAGTGTCACCTCCCTAATGGCTTTCCATCAACATAAATCTAACCTAGAGTCCCATTTACTTCATTCATAGCTTTCACTGCACCATGGGCACTTATATACATACATCCATTTCTTAAATGCAGTGTCCTTAGAATCCAGAAGAGGGCCCCAAGCCTTAGAATAAATAAATATGTGTAGAAAGAATGTCAAGATTCTGGAATTGGAACTGGAGACCACAATAGTGGCCTGTGGTCCAAATCCATTCCCTGAATGTGTTAAATTTGTCCTGAAAAGTGTTTTGTTTTCCTTTTAAACAGGTTGCCAACACACAAAATTTGAGAAAGTCACATAAAATGTTTGGCATCTCTTTAAAAAATAACTGGAAGGGCTATAATGCAGAGATAGCATTTCTATCAGGCAGGCATTAACCGCAGCTTAGCAGCAGCCACTCCATTTACACAGGACATTCATTGGCCACCTCTCCATGTCTCCAGCCTCTACTCATTTCTATTCCTCTTTCACTCTTTGATGTTCTCTTTGTGGGTGTTTGGATTTTGACCATAGTAATGGCCTCCAAACTATCAGGTTTTGTGTCTTTTTCCAGTGGGGAAAAAAGAGAAAGCGGATGGCTGGATTGTTTTTTTGTTGTGGTTTTGGAAATCAGAAATATGGCAGGCTATTACAGGTTAAATCGTGTCCTCACCTAAATTCATATGTTGAAGTCCTAACCTCTAGTACCTTAGAATGTGACTGTATTTGGGAGGTAGGGTTCTTAAAGCGTGATTAAATTAAAATGGAGTCACTACATTGGACCCTAAACCAGTGTGACTGGTGTCCTTATAAAGGAAAAGGAAATTAAGACACAGACATGTATAGAAAGACTTGTAAAGACAGGGAGAAGATGGCATCTACAAGCCAAGGAGATGAGCCTGTAAAGAAACCAATCCCACAGACAACAAAACCTTAATCTTGAACTTGTAGCCTCCAGAACTGTGAAAAAATAAATTTCTGTCATTTAAGCCACTATGGTACTTTGTTACAAAATCATCCCTCTATTAGTTTGCCCTTAGAAACTGATACAGAAATTGTCAGTTGCCTCCAAATACTTCTATTTTCTCTTCAGTAACAGGACACTACATTATATGGGAACATGCCCCCCACTAAAAGACTTCTTTGCTTAGCCTTCCTTGCATTCAGTTGTGATCATGCGACCCATTATAGCCACTAAAATGAAAGTGGAAGTGTCAGATGTAAGTTACAAGAAGTCACCTTAAAAGGGAGGTGGTGCTATCTTATTGATCTCTTTACCCCCATCCTGCTGCCTGAAACTTGTTTTTGATGGCTGGAGCTTTAGCAGCCATACAGGTCTGTGAGGATAAGGGCTCTAGTCTAGAATGGTAGACCAGAAAGCTAGAAGCAGCTTGGGGCATAAAAAAATGAAGCTGCTATACTAGACTAGTTTTAGGTACCTATCTTAAGATGTGTTCGATATGGGAGAAATAAACTTTCTCATTTGCTTAAGCCATTGCAGGAAGTGGGGGAAGGGATCATCTGTGACTTAAAGCCATAAAAAAGGGAAGGGAACTGAGGATATTGGCAAGAGAGTGGATGAAACGATGATCTTCAGGCATATGCCAGGAAAGAGGGAGCACTGAAGCCAAGAAGTGGGTTCAAAATGAGGGGTCAAGGGCTTAGAGGTCTCCCCTTGACCACAGAGCAGGAATGTGGTCTTGAAATGGAAGGATGCTTAGGAGGATGTGGTCAGAGTGGGGTGCTCAAATGAGAGGCCAGGATGTTGGAGGCCTCATCTGTGGCATATCCAGGCCCCAAACCAAATGACTCATGGGGAGGGTGAGTATGAGATATTCCAGGGTAGGTTTACATATCTAGTAATACATAATAAATCTGTATCCAAATAGGCCAAGGGGTGTGGGTTATATCAAGTGGACCACAAGGGGGAGTGAGTGGATGTTAAGTCTTTCCAAAAGAACTGCATACAGTTAGGAGCTCTGATTCTGCTTGGAGTTGTCTGGGCTTCAGTCCTGGCTCTTCCTCCTCTAGTGCACCTGTCTCAAATCTGGGACATCAATAGCAAGCCCTCCTCCTTATGTGACCGTGACCAAGTGACTTAACCTTCCTGATCCTCAGTTTCCTCACTTACAAAATAAGAACAATAGCTGTGTCTGCCTTGCAGGATGGGCAGGAATGTCCTATTCCATAAGAATGTCCTCACCTCAAACTATTTCATGGCACCATTTACTGACTGCCTGAGATACTGTCTGTTAGTGCTTAGAACAGTGACTGGCACATAGTGAGCTGCTATTATTATCTCTGAGCTGGACATGGAGCAACTGAGGCATGGAAAGATTAGGGAACTGGTCCAAGGTCACATAGCTACCTGTGAACCCAGAACCTCCACACCTAATTGTTGCATATGGTGTACTACCCTCTTCTGCCACACCATCCATTCCATGGTTGATATGCACAAACAGCATCACCTGTGACTGCCAAGAGGTGACACAGTCCCCGAGTCACCCTAACATCTCTCCCAGTTTCCATCTGGGAAAGATCTGAACGTCATCCTCATTCTTCCTACCCCCCACCCCCTTACCTGTCTTTCTTGACCAGCTGAGCCCAACTTCCCCATCTGGAAAGCAGGGTTATAAAACCCTGCCTCACAGAGAAATGAAGGTATCTTTTAGGAGGATAATCAATGTGAATAACTCTGTCTGGCAGACGCACCCTCTACAGCCAAATCCTTATGTCCTGCGCCTCTCAGCTCAGACCTCACCACGGCTCACACTAACCATCTCCATGGGTCTGAGCCACCACTGACTAGCTTCTTGCTGGTCTTCCTGTCTCTGCTCTGGCCCCACATGGCTGCCAGAGGGATCTTGTTAAATCCTAAGTCAGATCCTATCTCTGTGTAAAATCCTCCAATAGCATTCTCATTTCAAGACTAAAAGACAAAAGTTCCAAGGGTCTATAATCCAGATTCTCAAAGTGTGTTTGGGGACTAGCACCACTGCCACTGCCTGAAAACTTGATAGAAATGTCAGTTTTCTGGCCCTACCTCAGACCTACTTGTCAGATACAGACAGCGGGGTCCAGTAATCTTCATTTTAACAGGTTCCCAGGAGACTCTGAATAACACTGGGGCTTGAGAACCACAGGTCTACAGGGACTGGTAGGACCTTGCTACTTCTTTGATCTCGTCTCCTCTCCAGCCCCACTGGCCTCAGGACCTTTGCACTGGCTTTTCTGGTGGCCTGAAGTACTCTCTTTCCCCAGACTATCTGCATGGCTCTTACTATCACTGTGACCAAGTCTTTGCTCAATGAGACTGACCTATTTAAAATTGGGTGGTGCCTGTGGCTCAAAGGAGTAGGGTGCCAGCCCCATATTCCAGAAGTGGTGGGTTCAAACCCAGCCCTGGCCAAAAATTGCATGTCCCCATTCTTTTCCCCTCCACAGCATGGGTCACCATACTAAAGTATTTCACTGCTTTTGTTATTGTCTGTTTTGCCCCCACCCCCTGTATAAGCAACCTGAAGGCAGGCGGTTTGTCACAGCTATGTCCCTAGTGTTGTTCCTGGCACATTCAATGAATATCTGTGGAACATATTGCACCAGCTTCTCCTGGCCTCTAGACTCCCTCAGGCCTGTCCTCCATAGCACCAGAGGCTACTTCTGCACCCAGAGCTGACAGCCCCCTCCTCTGTTCATAGCCCTCCCATGGCTCCCCTGTGCCCTCAGGACAGTCTCAGGCCTCCTTGACTTTTCAACTGTATACCCTGTAGCCAGGTATCTAGCTGCTGCCTAGATGCGCCCAGAACCCTCAGTCCCTATATCCTAATCTAGCTCATAATCAGTCCCCATTCTGGCTCTTTCTCTCAGGCTCCTCATCTCAAGGATGAGCCATGACCCTGTAGGCATGAAGCCAGGTCTTGGGCACTACCCTCTAACCCTTCTCCCTCCCCTAATAGCCCAGTTGACTCAGAATGTCCCTCCAGCCCCCTCTCAGTCTGTCCCCTCTCTCTACCTTCACAACCCCCCCCACCTCAGGCCTTGTCTCCACCTTCCCACCAGCACCCCCACCTCAGGCCTCTTCTCCTCTGGCCTGGACCCTCACCCCAGGTCCTTCTCTCCCCTCCAAGTCTCTCCCACATGCAGCCCCAGAGAGACCATCTCTTGCCAGAACTGGACTTCTTCCTAGTCTTTTCAAAACCTCCTGTGACAGGCTCAATGCCTGTAGCTCAAGCAGCTAAGGCGCCAGCCACATACACCAGAGCTGGTAGGTTTGAATCCAGCCTGGGCCTGCCAAACAACAATGATAACTACAATCAAAAAAAAAAAAAAAAAAGCTGGGCATTGTGGCAGGTGCCTATAATCTCAGCTACTTGGGAGGCTGAATCAAGAGAATTGCTTAAGCCCAGGAGTTGGAGGTTACTGTGAACTGTGATGCCACCACACTCTAACCAGGGTGACAGCTTGAGGCTCTGTCTCAAAAACAAAACAAAACAAAAACCCACCTGTGACATTACAGCCTATGTGAGGAGAAAGGGCATTTCCTGGAATCCTGCACCCCAACCTACCCAGCTTTCAAGCTCCTCAGGATCCCCATGAGGGACTTAGCTTGGCCCTTGATAGACGGGAACATCCCCCTCCTTGGAGACCTTTTACAAAAAGCTTGGTGTGGCCTCTCCCCAGCCCCCCAGATGCCCCACAATTTCAGCCTCTAGCACCTTTGAGGGAGTCATGGCTGTACTGACCTGGTGTGACTGCTGCTAATGCTGCCCATTGGCCATGCATGTCCTCCCAGCCTTAAGGTACATGTCCCCCACACCCCTGTCTCTTTTCACAGCTGTCACCTGAGTGATCTCCTATACTGTCCCCACCTGTCTGCCTGCTCCCTCACAGCCTCACACCTCAAAAATGGGGGACCACATTAACAGTGAGGAGTATATGTGTGGGCATGTGGTCCACATTAGAGGGGGTGTCCTCCCTGATGGCTGCTAATCAGGGTCACTTCTCTCCTCAAGTGACCCAGCTCACTCCTAGAAGTACCCCTCCCAGGCCACCAAGGTCTCCTTACTCCACAGGTACCAAGGGAGTCCAACCCCTCACCACTCACCTTGGGCAGTAGCCAGCTCCTGCAGGGAGTGGATCATCTGGGTGAAGGCGTCATGCAGGTGGTTTCTCTCATTATAGTCTGGGGGTAGGAAGGGGTGAGGCTGCAGGAATCAGCTCCCCCATACCACATCCCTGATAGGAACTTCCTCCCCTCTCTGAATCTCTGCCTCCCCACCTTCATCTTCCCCTCTCTGAGTCTCTCCATCCCAATTTCTACCCTCTCCCACTTCTTACTCCACTTCTTACTCTCTGCCCCCAAATCTCTGCCTTCCCCGATTTGAGTCTCTGCCCCCTCTCCTCTCTCTCTCTTTCTGTCTCCTTGGGTCTTTCCTGTTTCAGTGTCTTTGAGCCTTTGTCTCTGACTCTGTGGACCCTGGTGTAGTTGGAAAGTCTCCTCACTGATTTCGATGTCTTCAAGGCCCTGGAAGGCGTCTGTAAAGACCTCCTCACATCTCTTGAGCTCAGGGCTGTTCATCCCAGCAAACATCTTGCAGATGCGGAGGCGCTCTGTGTAGGTGGTAAAGCAGATGAGACAGGCCCAAGTGGACGCCCTGAGGACCACAAGGGCCAGCAGGGCAAATGGGACTGCTCTGGCCAAGGCCAGTGGGGCCATTATAGAGGGTCTCAAGGCCCAGAGAGAAGATGGTGACCTTTATGAGGTCACCTGGGGTGGGGGAGGGGCTGTGGCCTAGAGCCAGAGGTCAAGTTTTGGTTAGTGGTCAACTGTCAGGCTCTGGAGGAAGGGTGTGAGGGGTCAGGGGGTGGGACTGCAATTCCCAGGTTTGTGGTTGAGCCAGACGCCAGGCTCCCAAGAACCTCACCTGTGACCCTGGACGTCCTCACAGGTTAAAGGGTCTCAGGGACCCAGAGGCCGGCAATATGGCACATGGTGGCCCCAACAGGCCCTGTGGTGGGCTTTAAGATGGGGCCCAGAGATGGAGGTAGGCATAGAGACACTATAAATGCCAGCAGACAGAAAGACCAAAGAGACAGAAACTGAGACAAGCAGAGATTTGGGGAGAATCAGAGACCCAGGAAGTCAGAGTAAGAGATAGAGACAAGGTCCCAGAGGCCAGCATGCAGAGAAATGCAGAAGCTAGGAAGACACAGCAGAGACAGAGAGAGAGGAAGTAAAATAGATTTCTTGATGGAAGAGAAACTTCAAGGAAAGCAAGGAGGGGATAATGGACAGCTCAACTCCTCCTCCCAGGGTCTCCAGGGCAGCGGTGGGGCTGAGGGTCCCACCGGCCCCCGTCCCGTGCAGGGCGCAGCCTGGGGAAAGCTAGGAGGCCGTATAGTGATCTCCTTGGGTGTCCTCCTCAACTATACAACCTCCTACCTCAGCCCGGGGGGCGCGGCCGGTGGACAGAGCAGACAGACAGATGGGGCGAGGAGGGCCAGGGAGGGTGGGGAGGGCCGGGGAGGCCCCAGACGCGATGATGAGCCCCCGACACGGACCCACAGACACGAGCTTGTGTGCGGCGAAGGCCCCGCAAGGTCGGTTCTACGGGTGGGTGCCAGGACCCAGGAGTCCAGGCCCCCGGCCCCCTCCTCCCTATGGAACACAGAAGTTCAGGCCCCCAGCCCATCCTCTCTCAGACCCAAGGGTCCAGATCCTGGTCCCCTCTGCCCTCAGACCCAGGGGTCCGGGTCCCCAGCCCCTCCTAGTCCCTCAGACCTAGGGGTTCAAGCCCCCAGCCCCCTCCCTTGCACCTGGGAGTCCAGCCAAGCAGGCCTCCCTCTTCCCTCCTTTCCAACCTCCCACATCATCAGGCATAGCCTGCTAGGAGACGGTGGCTTCCTGGGTGCAGGTCAGAGAGAACATCATCTGTCTTGCAATTCCAGCCCACTGGGCACCATGCTCCCTACCTACCTTCCTGTCAGGCTGCAGAGGCGCCAAGCCCAGGGCTAGGGAGCTGGCAGGGGACATGAAACCTTCAAAGCCTCTGTGGGTACTTTCCCCCCCTTCTCCTCCCCTCTTTTGGCTTCTTGTCATTTGTGATGATGACAGCTATGACCTCTGGGCACCGACACTGCACCCTACCTCCAGCACCAGTCTTCCCTCTGACACTTCCAGGTGTACAGAGTGGTACTCTTTGCATCCCCATTTTGCAGGTGAGGCAGGTGAGGAGGCCCAGCCCCAGAGAGGGGAGGATACTATCCAAAGTCAGCCTAAGTGGGAGGGGCCAGCGGCCACCCACCCTCCCCACCTGGGCTCTCCCAGTCCAGTTCTCCCTCTTGCTCTCACCCTCTCACTTCCTCACAGTGTCCTGCAGCCTGTGCTACCCCTGCCCCTATTCCCCCCTGTCTCTCTCAGTTGCTCTCTCACCTGTGTCCCAGCCTCCTCCAGCATCTGTAGCGCTCCCTGGCCCCGCACGGTGCTCTCTCCCCCTCCTCTTCCCCGGTTCCTCCTTCCTTCCCTCCTTTCTATGCATCTCCTGCTTTTCGTGTTCCCCTTCCTTTCCTCTTCTCTCTTTGTCTCTCTCATTCTCTCAGACCCTCTCCCAGGCTCTGTCTCCCTCTCCTCTTTCTCTCACCCTTTTCCTCTCGCTTTTTTCGGGGTCTAGCCTCACTTCCTCTCTTTCCTCCCTCCCCTTCTATCCATCTCTAAGGCTCCTTCTCACCCTCTGTCTTGGTCTCTCTCTCCCTTTCTCTCCCTCCCAAGTCTCTCTCTTCCCTCCCCTCCCCCTTCTCTCGTTCCCTCTCTCCCTCCCCCTCGCAGCTCGGAGAGCCAGGTCTGGAGCTGGGGGTGGGGTGGGGGTGGTTGGAGAAGGGGCCCAGGGCTGGGGTAGCGACCTGCTGAGGAGGGGGAGGAGAGGCGGGAAGGGGGCGGAGAAGGAAAGGGGGAGGCAGGGCCCAGAGACTGGTCTGCGGTCCCATCTCTCTTCCCCCTTTCCTCCTTTCCAACCTCCCAGACCCTCTGGCGGGGGCGAGAGTCAGGCCAAGGTGGGGAGGAAGGGGAAGGGAGGAGGCTGCCCCCCCCCCACCTGGCCCGGAGCCCAGGCCTGGGTTCCCGGCATGCCCCGGGGCTGCCTGGGGCCTGATGAGGGGGGTGAGGGGAGAGGGGAAGCTGAGAATCTTAAGATTGCTGGGACCTGAGCATCTCCCCCAACCCCCAACCAATTCCTCCTAGGGGAAACTGAGGCGAAGAGAGTCGGGTCAGGACTCGTTCAAGGTCACTGGACAAGGCGTTGGCGGAAACGCGATCTCCCTGGGCCCATAGGCTGGCTTTAGGGATGGGGTAGGCACTGGACTTCCCCCAGGCCTAGGTCCCCTTCCCCCTCTCCGTGGACCCTGGGGAGCCCCCAAGGGTCAGAGAGCAGACCCAAACAGTCTGGCACCATGGCAACCAGATGGCCCCGCCCCCTTAACCCCTGGAGGGCTGGACTCCAGCTGAGGCTAAAAAGGAGGTGGGGACTCCTGGGTTCTGGGGGAGGAGGGGTCTGAGGGTCCCCGGAATCCAGGCTTTGAAGGCAGGCGGAGGCCTGGGCTCTTGGATTCTAGTGGACGAGGGTTTGGTGCTCCTGCTCCTGGGGAGGTGGGGCTGAGGTTCTGAACTCTGGGGTTTTGAAAGGGGTGGAGGCTCGAGTGTGGACTCTGATCTGAGAGAAGAGGCTAAGGGCCCAGACTCCTGAATCCGGGGGGAAAGGGGGCCAGGGGTCTGGATTTGGGTAATTGGGAAGCGGTGGACTCCCAAGTCTGAGGGAGAGGGAGCTGGGGCTTGGAATCCCAGGTCGCCCAGGGAGCTTGGATGCTGGGCCTCTCCTCCGCCAGACATCCCCTGCCCCCGCCGCTGACCCTGGCCTGTCTGGCAGCCCAGACAACCTCCCCCTCCTCCTCAGCCCCCTCCCACTGGTACGGCTCACCCTTGACCCCTCAAAGCCCCGCAGCCCCATCCCTGCCCCTCCCCCTCCCCTCCAGCCAGACGTTAACCCTTCCGATCCCAGAAGAACCGCCAAAGCCAGACCGTCTTCTTCCACCTCCCAGGAGAGCTCGGGTATCTCGCCCCTGGTCTCCTCCACCCGCCAATGCTACCTGCCCCAACCCCCATCTCTGTCCTCCCTTTAGAACCCAGGACGTATTCCCAGCTTTCTCCAGCTTCCGGACCCCGGAATCCTGGTCCCAACCCCTCTTCCTTCAATGATTCAGGGGCCTGGACTCCCAAGCGCCCTCCTCCTCCTCCAAGAACCCAGAAATCCCGGCCCCCGCCTCCTCCCTTAGGGACCCTAGAGTCCCGGCCCCAGGCCCCATCCCCCGCCCTTTTCGCAGACTCACGGCTCCCGGCTCCCGCGTCGGAGGTAAGGGGTCTCCTCGGCCGACCTCAGGCCCGCGGCCGAGCCCCACCGCCGTGGAGTCCTCTCCATCCTCTCCCCGCCTCCGTTGCCGGGCGGCCTCTCCCCTTCCTCTTGCCGTCCCCGCCATCCTCCTTCCAGTCTCCCCAGCTCCCTTCGGCCGGCGCCTCCTCCCCGGCTCTGAGGTCCCGGGCTCCCCCACCCCGGACCCCGCAGCCCTGCGGCCGTCAGACCAACCCCCTCCCCAGGGGGCCCCCGCCCCGGCCCCTCCCCACCGCCCTGCCCAGTCCGGCCTGGCTTCCCCCCTGCCCTGGAGCTGGCCCCGATCCAGGGGAAAAAATTCCATCCAGCCCCGGGGAGGAGCAGCGGGGCGGCGGGGGAGGGAGCGGGGAGGGGGAGGCCGGGCCAGGGGAGCATGACGCAGAGCGGAGGGAAGGGACAAAAGAGAGGCCGGGGAGGCGGCGGGGCGGCCGGCGCTCCCACTTCTCCCTCCCTCCTCCCTCGGCCAGTGCCCGCTTTTCCTCGGCTTTCCCTAGGTCCCCTCCACCTCGCCTCCCTTCCCCTCGCTTTGCCCCCTCCCTCTTCTGCCTGCCTCCGTCCTTCTAGCTCCGAGCGCGCTTGCCGCCGCCCCCCTCCCCCCGTTGTTGCTGCCTTTTTTCTCTCTGCCGGTGTCATTCTGAGTTGGTTTTGCTCCCTCTCTTGTCTCTTTCTGTCCTGCCTTTCCTCTCGATATCTGTCCTTCTGTCTTTCTTTCTCTATCCCTGCCTCTGCGTCTCTATCCCTTTTGCTGTCTGTGGGTCTTCTGTGTGTTTCCTTTTATTCTTTCCCTTTTCGCTTTCTGTTTTTCCTCCCTGCCTGCCTCTGTCTCCATCCTTCCTCTCTCTGGCTTTCTCCTCCCCTCTCTCCTCTTTCTCCTTGCATCTCCCCCGTCAGGGTCTGCCCTTCTCTCTCTCCCTTTCTGTTCTCCCAGCCTCTCTCTCCTCCCTCCGCTTTGGTCTCTCCACCCCCATGCTCCCCCACTGGGGACTCAAAGGTGAATCAGACCCATATCTGCCCTTGCAGATGGAGCTCCCAGTCCGATGGAAGAGACAGACCCAGCTGCAGACAGTCCCAATAGAGGGTGATTGGGATATGACAGAGGGAGAGACCAGAAGAGGTGAAGGAATCTTTGCAGCAGGGGACATCAGAGAGGACCCCCAGAGAAACCGTGGTTCTAGCATGACCTCCAGAACCAGGAGAAGTTAGATGTGAATTCTTGAGAGAAGGCATCAGTAAGGGTGTTGCAGGCAGAGGGCACAACAGAAGTGAGGCCCAAAGGCAGGAAATCAAGGCAATGCTGGAAGGACATCAAAGCAGTCAGGTCTAGAGCCTTGGAGGGTGGGAACCCAGGAGCATAGGAGATGTGCTGGGGTGAGTGGGC